AATGGACCACCGACTCACCAGTGTGGGTAGACCAGTGGCTGCTGAATAAAGAAAAATTGAAGGCACTCAATGAACTTGTGGAGGAGCAATTGGCTCAGGATAACATCGAGTCCACCTTCAGCTCTTGGAATCCCGTTTTTGTCATCAAAAAGCTGGGGAAGGGCAAGTGGTGACTCCTCCACAACCTTTGTGAAATTAACAAAGTCATTGTTGACATGGGACCCCTTCAACCAGGGATGCCTTCCCCAGCAATGCTCCCCCAAAATTGAAATTTGGCTGTTATTGACATCAAAAATTGCTTCTTCAGAGTTCCCCTTGACCCTGTCAATGCCCCACAGTTTGCCATCTCAGTTCCCACCAACAACTGAGAAGCCCCAGTGAGGAGATTCCACTGGTGTGTGCTTTCTCAAGGCACGAAGAACTCGCTGAGCATTTGCCAGTGGTACATCACCTCACTGCTGTTCCCTGTGTGTGCCAGAGTGGGGGAGGCTATCATACTCCACTACGTGGATGATGTCCTCATGTTCACCCCCAATGACATTGTACTACAGAACACACTTGAGCAAGTGGTTGAGGTTCTAACGTCAGCAGGATTTTCTTTGCAGGAGGAGAAGGTTCAATGGATGCCTTCTTGGAAATATCTAGGCTTGGAGGTCACAATGAGGACCATTGTTTCTCAGAAACTGGCATTTAACAGCAATCCCAAAATTTTGGCGGACCTGCACTCCCTGTGTAGGACTTTGAACTGCACCAGGCCTTGGCGAGGCATCACTACCAATGACCTAGCCCCTCCTCTTCAATTTATTTAAGTGGGGAAAGGAGCTCAGTTCTCCAAGGCCCCTGACCCCAGAGGCAAAGGTCACACTGCAAAAAGAGGCACTGGATAAGAGAGTATCACCCTGGTGCAAACTTGAATTAACTTCCAAATTTATTGTGTTGGGGAAACAGCCACACTATCATGGACTGATCTTTCAATGGGACCAGGACCAGTGGGACCCTCTCTTGATAGTGGAGTGGGTTTTCCTCAGTCACCATCAATCCAAAAACATCACGAGGCCACAGGAGCTGGCACAGCTGGTCAGGAAAGCCAGGACAAGGTTTCAGAACTAGCTGGTTGTGACTTTGCGTGCATACACTTGCCTGTTGATCTCTCAGGGGATGAGACATCCACAGAGAGGTTGACTAAATGTTTGAGCATCTCTTGAGAGAAAACGAACACTGCAGATCACTCTAGAGGATTACAGCAGACAGATCTCTGTCCATGCCCCTGCCCACAAATTATTTGCATCAAAATTCCAATTGGTTCTGAAAAACAAAAGGGGCCAAACACTGCTCAAGGCTCTAACGGTCTTTACTGATGCCTCCAGGGCTTCTTGCAGGTCAGTGATGACCTGGAAGGACCCCCAAATGCAGCAGTAGGAGACAGATGTAGAGTGTTGAGGGTTCCCCTCAAATTGCTGAGTTTGCCGCAGCAGTTGGGGCTTTTGAGAGGTTTTCAGAGCCATTCAGTTTGGTTACAGATTCAGCCTGTGTTGCAGGGGTGGTATCCAGAGCTGCAAATGTAGTTCTCAAAGAAATCTAAGTACTTTTTGAGTTGCTCTCAAAGCTGATCCAGCTGAACTGCTGTCTCCCACTGAGGAACCCATTTTATGTGATGCATGTGAGGTCACACACCGATCTGCCTGGCCCGATTGCTGAGGGGAATTGGTGAGCCAGTTCTCTTGCAGCTGCCTCTGTCCAGTTATCAAGGCTTCCTGACACCTTCCAACAAGCCAAGCTGAGTCATCAGACATTACACCAGAATGTGCCTGGCCTGGTCAAGCAGTTCAAGCTCAAGCGTGACCAGGCTAAAGCGATTGTGGCCACATGTCCCCATTGCAAGAGCACAGGCATGCCATCTCTGGGTGCTGGAGTCAACCCTCAAGGGTTGGGAAGCTGTGAAGTGTGGCAAACTGATGTCATCCTTATCCCTGAATTTGGCTGCCAAAAGTATGTACATGTCTCCATCAACACCTTTTCTGGTGTAACCTATGCCTCTGCCCATGCAGGGGAAAAGGCAGCGCACATCATCCAACACCTGTTGCAGGCTTTTTCAGTGCTAGGAGTCCCCAAAGAGATCAAAATGGCTAATGGCCTGGCCTATATTTTGAAGGCCCTCAATGAGTTCCTGCAGGGATAGGAAGTCAAACAAAACTATGGCATTCCCCACTCCCCCACTGGTCAAACTGTGTTTAGTGAGCCCACCAGCCACTCAAAAGGGTCCTGATGCATAAATGCGGGAGCAGCAGAGGGCTAACACCACAGGGAGATTGTGTAAAGCCCTCCTCACCATCAAATTTTTAAACTGCTCATTTGAGAACATGAACCCCCCAGTGATCAGACATTTCTCCCCTCACAGCAATCACAGGCTCCAAGAACACCCACCTGTTCTGGTTCAGGACCCTGAAAGGGGCAAGATTGAGGGACCATGCAAATTGGTGACATGGGGATGTGGGTATGCCTGTGTATCCATGCCCCTGAGACTGGTGGATCCCACAGAAGTGGGTGAAACATATGTGCTCAAGCATCCCAGCAGGGCACCAGACAGAAACAGTGAAGCATCAACAGTGAGTATGAAGAAAAGAGGACAAAACCAGCTTGGTGGAGAAGGAGACCCTAACTCCCTTTTCTACCCCGATTTTCCTTTGTTAAATATGCTCATGGATGATTTTGAAAATTTAAGTAGTCCTTATCAATCTTTGTTATTTCCTAGAGAAGTCATCCTTCTTGTGGGTCCTCCTTGTCACTATCCTCCTGGTGCCAGCCTTGGACACATGGATTGTCCTACCATCTAGAAAGAACTTCCAAAAACACGGACATCCATGCCTTCTTAAAGAAAAAAGAATCCAAGGGCTGACTGAATAACATCTTTCAAGGATGGGTACTCACAGGAAGGCTCTCTTCTGCTATAAAGACAATTTATTAGGTTTTTTCAGTTACCATTGTTTTAGTTACATTTTCCATTTTAAAATATATTGTCTTCTGTTGGACAACTAACCTCTACTTCCACCAATGGTTTCTTGATTTGTACCCCAGTTCTGAATACCGCCCAGATCCCTCTTTTTGAAAAAGAAAGGGGCAGATGTTGCGGTTCATGTTTATTTCATTAAGTTATTGTTAAATGGTTAATTCTGTTATCCCCCCATGTTTTCCCTGAGTTGGTTTTTCTCTAAGTTGTACCCTCCCCAGCTGTTCCCTACTCCTGTCATGGCTACCGGAGTCTACAGAGCTAGGCTGGGTTGCGGTGGGCTTCGGCAATTATAACTGAGCAGTTATACATTTTGGTATATTCAGTCTATTTCAGTGAATAGCAATGTTCTGTTCCTAGTTCTTGCTGCTACATAATGATAAACAAATGCACCTGGCAATCTGTGTAACACTCTCCAGTCTGTTGAAGATGAATGAGCATTGATTCCCTGCAGAAATTTGACTGTATCCTGAAACACTTTTCAGCCAATATTCCAATATTCTATTTTTCTATGAAGACACTGAAGAAATGTTCTTTAAAGTGATCACAGGCCTAAGGTTTTCTAATTTAAGAAGAGCCCTGCTTCATTTACATGCTAAAGCAAAGCCAATTGTTGAAAAAGTGTCTTTATTTTCTTTATTGTCTTTATTTCTCACGAGAGGATCCTTGAAAGCCAAAGTAAATTCCAAGAGATTCAGTTTCTCCATACAGACAAAAATTATGCTTTTATCTTGACTGGCCATGAAAGAAAGGTAGAATTACCATCAAAATCACATGGATGAGGGTATAACCTAAAGCAAAATTAGTGATCAGTCCTGACTTGCAGCCCAGGGCAAAGCTTTTTCTTACATTCTCTTTCCTATTAGCAATCAACAAATTCAGAAAATTCAATAAAATGGTTGTTACCTTCATAAAGTCAGGTAGACTTTTCATTATTTCACAACATAGTCAGGCTCCCTGAAGGGATGGTTAAATGAAGTTCTAGCATAGGATGTGTAGACAAACCAAGAGTTAGACATTATGTTGGAAACAGTGAAATAATACTAGCAAGGCAACAGAATTGCTACAGGCTTGCTCTTGCAGGATCTTCAGCCTTTGACCATTCCCCACAGCTCTTCGCAATATTGCTATAGAAAATCAAAGGTTGGTATAAATAGTCTGTCAAAAAAACCCAAAGTAACTCAATTCACAGACCCTCTTGGGACCAAAACCAGATGGTCAGAGATTCTGGAAACAAAACAAAACAAAAAAAAAAAAAAAAAAAAAAAAAAAAAAAAAAAAAAAAAAAAAAAAAAAAAAAAAAAAAAAAAAAAATCCAAACCAAACCAAACAATTTAGAGTGCATATGTCCTTACTGGAAAACACTCGCCTAAGCATATATTATTTTGTTATTTTGGTAATTTACAATAGGCTCAGGAAAAGGCTCTGCAGGCACTGGGGTCTCTTCAGGACAGGTGGCAGCAAAAATCTCTGCAATGAAGCATTTAAAATTAGCCTAATAACTCAAAGTTCATGATGAAGCTGTGCAGTTTATTTTCATGATGTAGATTTGGTCCAACATTTTTCTAAATTACTTAGACAGGGTACTTTATGATTTCAGGCTAGAAAAGGAGATTATTGCACTTTTTTTCTGCAGACTACTGATGATCTGAAACTAAATAATTAATGTGAAGTGTTGTGTTTTGAGCATGGTAGCAGTAATACAAAATCTTAGATCACAAGGACAGAACTTGTTCAGACTGATTATGTGAATATCTGTGTATGTGTGTGTGGGTGTATGTGTGGGCACCTGTGTGTATGAGTATAATTGGTAGCATATTTAAAAGAGCTACTTGCTTGTCTTAGTTTTCTTATCTTCCTTTGTGGTTTATAGAATATCTTAACATAAATAAAATAATGAAACAGGACACATCAATGATTATTCTTTAAAATGTGTGAAAATAATAATATGTGTTTCTTCTGACACTTTGTGTCTTTCTTCTTTGTGCAGATAATGGAAAGAGGAGAACTACCTTGGCTTTTGGTAAATGAAATTGGTGGCATATGTGGGATACTGTATAGCCATGTGCCATTCCTGAAGAAACATTTCCACCTCATTACCATGAAGGAATTTCTTGAAAACATAAAGGATGTAAGGAAAAAGGTCCAACAATCTATTTGTGGTGGCACAGATCAGTCATCGACAAAGAGCTCCTCCAGACCCTGCCAAACTTGAAAGTGATTGTGAATTCAGGAGTGGGGATGGATCACCTGGATCTAAAGCTTGTAGGTAGCTTTGGTATGAAGATGGCTAATGCTCCACGTGCTGTTTCCAGCACCACAGCAGAAACTGGGATGGCTTTGCTGCTAGCATCTGCTAGAAGACTTGTGGAAGGTAACATCTCAATTCTTTTGTGGCTTGTAAAAAATCATACAAGATTTACCTGCCTTTAATTTGATTTTTCTTAGGATTACCTGTAGTTCATACGGTTTTACATAAAATGTGAAAATGTAAGTATGTTGGCTTGGCAAACAGAATAATAGGTATTTTAATATGTTTTATGTATAATAGGTATACTTAAATTATTATGTTAGACATACATAGCATATATTACAAGGAGGTATAAAGAAAATGTGTTGGCATTAGAGTGCTATGACCAAAAGTGGGGGATGCTGTAGTAGATAGGGACAGGCGAACGGAAGATTTCGGGATGTGACGGAAAGAATGACCCCTTCCCCCTCTCACCCTGCAACATGTTATCCATTTACCCCAAAGAAT